TCCCATTCCCCTGCCCTCGTTTTGCACACCAATATGTACCCCTGGTGATCGAGATGAAACCAGGAGCCCAACCAACAAGGGGACGACAGTACCCCATCCCCAAGGAGGCTCGAGAGGGAATTCAGGAACATATTGGCAGGCTCAAGCGGGAGGGGAGTTTGGTGGAGTGCCAATCCCGGTGGAACACTCCCCTCCTGCCAGTCAAAAAGCCCAACAGAGGTGGATACCGGCCCGTCTAAGACCCGCAACTGATTAATGAGGCTACAGTGATTCTCCACCCAGTGGTACCAAATCCATACACCCTCCTGGGCCTCATTCCTCCTGATGCTGTCTGGTTCTCCTGCCTGGACTTAAAGGATGCTTTCTTCTGCATGCGGCTCGCTCAGAAGAGCCAGCCCCTGTTCGCCTGTGAGTGGGAGGATCCTCAGACTAGAAGGAAAACCCAACTGACCTGGACGTGACTACCACAGGGATTTAAAAATTCACCAACTGTATTGAGGGAGGCTCTAGCCACTGACCTCATCTCCTTTCCGCGAGAAGAAACCTACTGCACACTTTTATAGTATGTTGATGACCTCCTTCTAGCAAGCCCAACCAGAGAAGACTGCCACCGGGGCACCTGGTGCCTGCTCCGATTGCTCACTGACAAAGGATACAAAGTCTCCTGGAAAAAGGCACAGATCTGCAGGCAACAGGTGAAGTACCTCAGTTTCCATATCACTCAGGGTCGCCGGACACTGGGACATGAACGGAAGCACACCATTTGTACAATTCCCAGGCCGACCAGTCAGAGACAACTCAGAGAATTCCTCCAAGCAGCCAGATTCTGCCACATCTGGATCCCAGGGTTCTCCCTAAAGGCCAAGCCTCTACACGAAGTCCTACGCGGGCCTGAAAACAAAGAATTGGAATGGGCTGAGAGTCAGGAAAGGGCTTTCCAGGAAATAAAAGACTTACTAAAAAGAGCCCCCACACTAGGGCTACCGGACCTCACCAAAGACTTTAACCTGTTTATACACGAGAAGAAACAAGTGGCTCTGGGGGTTTTGACTGAAACTGTGGGCCCGTGGCAGAGACCAGTGGCTAACTTGTCATAATAATTGGATCTGGTAGCGGCAGGATGGCCACCTTTCCTCTGCGCACTGGTGGCCAGTGTCCTGCTAGTCAAGGACGCACTGGGACGGAACCTCTGTGTGCGAGTCCCTAATACAGTATTATCTCTAGTGAACACTTCAGAGCTATGGTGGCTCTCAAGCAACCGGTTAGCTCAATACAAAGGACTGTTATGTGAAAATCTGTACATCACCCTGGAGACTGTGCGGACCTTGAATCCCACCACCCTCCTACCCACCGAGCCAGGGCCCCTGGACCATGATTGTACCGAGGTGGTAGAGGAGGTCTATGCCAGCTGGCCAGATCTGAAAGATAGTCCTCTACCAGCACTGAACTTAGAACTCTACACGGATGGCAGCAGTTTTATCCAGAATGGGAAACGATTGGCAGGCTTCGCAGTCACCACAGCTGATGAGGTCATCATGTCAGCTCCCTTGCCCCAAGGGTGGTCAGCAGAGAGGGCGGAGCTATGGGCCCTCGTCCAAGCCCTCAGACATGCCTGGGGTAAGAAGGCAAACATATACACAGACTCTAAGTATGTCTTTACCCCAATACGTATCCACAGGGCAATATATAGGGAGAGGGGACTGTTGATTGCAGGTGGAAAGAAGATCAAACTTAGGGAGGAAATCCTCCTACTGCTGGAGGAAGTTTGGGAGCTGAAAGAAATTGTGGTCATCCACTATCGAGGGCACCAAAAGGGCACAGATCCAATTGCCACCGGCAACCGCCTGGCAGACCAAGCAGCCAAAAATGCAGCCAGTTGAGGATGTTCAGAGGACAACACTCCAAACCAGTGCCAAATCTTGTTAGCACTCCAGTGGCCCAAAGATTCAAAATATACCCCAGAAGAGAACCAGTGGGCAGAGCAGGAGAAGGCCAAGAAGGACGTAGACGAGTGATGGCACCTACGGAACCATAACATCTTTATCCCCAATAAACTAGCATACCCTATTGTCTGCCAACATCAGAACCTGACTCACCTAGGGAAAACAGCCCTGATGCAGCTACTCACCCGGTACTACCACATCATCAAACTTCTGTCCATCGCTGCAGCAGTCAGTGCCCGCTGCCAGACCTGTGCTAAAAACAATGCAGCAGTCAGGCCGAGACCCACCCCAGGAATGTAGTACATCGGAACCTCTCCATTCGAGGATGTGGAAATTGATTTCACTGAAGTAAAACCATGTCGGGGCTATAAATACCTGCTGGTACTGATATGCACCTTCTCAAGCTGGATTGATACAGTCCCTACCTGGACTGATAAGGCTAGGGAAGTGGCAAAGGTTCTATTGAGAGAAATCATCCCCAGGTAAGGTCTACCACTCTCCTTTGGCAGAATCCAGAAAAGAAACAAGGAATTAGAACCTGGGGTTTCGATTTAGGACAATAGACTTCATGCCTACTACCTCTGCCTGGGCCGCTAATAACTATCCTTCTCCTTGTCACTGTAGGTTCCTGCATATTGAGCAAGGTTATACAATTCGTAGACAACTGTAACTCAGAGAGCAACAGCTCACATAATGGCCTTAGAAGCTATCACCCACTGGGAAATGATGCCCTATAATAGACATACAAGGGCATCAACGGGGGGAATGATAAGGAAGACCCTCATCAACCTAATACTAACCTATTACCTGGCTTCTGCAATTGCTTCAGCCACCTGAGACCTCACCCCTCGGACCACTCCAACCTTATAAAAGTGGGAAAAACCTGGTCGACAGGGCTCAGAATTTGGTGGCAAGACCCCTCTGAGCCCTCTGGGGAATAAGAATAAACCTTGATTCTCTGACTCTCTGTGTGTGGCTGTTTGTCCTCAAAACCACCCCCTGTAACACTTGCTGTAACAGTATACGTATTATATTTGTAAAGTGGGCATTGTTATTTGCATTTCACAGACCAGAAAACAGGCTAGAGTAGGTAATTGCTTGGCCAGAACTGGAAGTTGAGTCAGTCATGGCTCATGGTACAAACTCGATTTGAGTCTGCACAGCAATAAATGAAAGTCCTCTCCAAGTGAAGACTTTCTGGACTTACAAAGTTCTCACACTTCCAGGGGCCTATGGAGAAGAGGATCCACATGTGTTCCAGCCCAGGAACAACTTGGCTCAGGGGTCTTTTCTCACTCCACCCAACTCTCCCCAAGAAAACTGGCTCCACAGAACGGGAGAACTCTGGCTTGGACTTGCCGCTGGTGAGGTCGGTGCGGGCTCTCACGAGTCTGGGGGAAGCCGGGGGATTTGACTTCCCTGCGGAAGTCTGTGGAGTTTAATTCGTGAATTTATTTAGAAACTACACTTTTGTGTCAAAGAGCAGGGACAGCCAAGAAGCGGGAACAAAAAGAAGAGCGCAGGAAAATGGAGCCTGCGAATAACCCCAGCCTCGGTGAACCCTTGCAGTGCTACCCCACGCGTGACGCCCACCCGCGCCCCGCCACCCACCTCCACTCCCGGAGGAGGCGTGGTCGACGCGCGCCGCCATCTTGGGCGCCTCTCTAGGCGCACTGTTTACCACTCTATGGTTGCCCGCTCCCGCCCCGCCCCTCCCCAGTCATTGTCTGGAGCAGCAGCCGCGGCCGCAGCGCCGTCTCTTTATAAGCCCGCAGTTCCCGGATGTGAATGGATTACAATGTATCTTTCAGGGAAACCTATTATTATCAATGTGACTCCACGGGGGAGTCAATGGTGATGATGATGAGGAGGAGGATGATGATGATGAGACATCTCTAAACTTGGAACAAGTTTAAGACTTTATAAGAGGAGAAGAAAAAAAAAACCACCAACAAGATTTGTTTGAGGAAAAATTATAACTATCCTGTGTTGTTTTTTTATAAACAATAAGAAAAAGTTATTGGATTTTTTTTTTAATGATTTCTCTTTTGGGGGAGGGAATTTTGTTGCAGTTTTATGGTGGAAAATGCAAAAACCAGAGCCAGGTGCATAATCTTGTAATCTGTGGACATCCCTGGAGCAGAACTGAGTACCAGTTAAAATACTTTTTTTGGGGGATACACATGTGAGATACTAAGTACTTGCAGAAGATTTTTGGTCTCTCTTTTTAAAGTCTCTTTCCTTGGAATATTGTGAGAATATTTGTGGCCATTTAAGGTAACGTTACAATTTGCTGTAAGAGTAAACTGTTTGTAATTGAATTTAATTCTTAAAATGTCGATCCCAGTGTTTTATAAAAACAAAAGGAACAACCTATTAAATAATTGCCAATGGGAAAAGTGTGTGCATGCATTTTGTGTATGTACTCGCACATCTAGCAATACCAGGGTTTGTAGAATGTGTTTTTTAACACACGTTAAAATAGCGTTATGTTGCATATACTGGATAAAGCAGGCTTGTTATTACGAAACTATAGAATTATGAAGCTTAATTTTTGTCCTAAAAAGTGATGTGAAAAAGTATGTTTTAAGAGCATGCAGGGCCTATAATGGTAAATGTTGAATTGAAAACTTACAGTGTTGGCGAACCGGGACTTAGCGTGCCTAGTAACTCAAGTGCAAAAACAAAACAACATCCACCCCCCAAAAATGCCTTTTTTTTTTTTTTTTTGCGAAGTGGTCTTGTACTGTCACCCAGGCTGGAGTGCAATGACATGATCACAGCTCACTGGCTCTTTGAGAAGCACTGTCCTACTGGACCATTTTTTTTTTTTTTTTTTTTTTTTTTGCGAAGTTTGCAGCTATACTATTCTGTGACTTAAAAGGGAGGGAAAAGAGTATGCAATTCAGGTTTCTCCCCCAACGCAAAACTACCGAAACGAAAATCTCCCCAGCAAAATGTGGCTTGATTTATATATGGAAAAGAAAAATATTGTTCCTCTTGGCAAAGTCTTTTTGCATCACGTGTATTTGCAGCCTAGTATAAACTTGCTTTGCCGTGTGTGGATGTGTGAGTGAGAGGGAACGAGAGTAAGAGAAAGAAAGAAGTGAGGGGATGTAAACTCGAATAAATTTCAAAGTGCCTCCGAGGGATGAAACGGGCAAACACTGAAGTGTTCAGGCTTCAGATTGTAACTGACGATCTGAGGAAAAATGAGGTGCTCGACGAATTTTCGTTTGTACTTTTTGGCGAGGCGGGGGAGGTGTTGAGATTTTTTTTCCGGGGGGGGGTGCATCCCAGCCAGCCCGACCCGGAGCGAGCCGCGTCTCTCCGCCGGAGCCCCCCCACCCATTTCTTTGCTGAACTTGCAATTCCGTGCGCCTCGGCGTGTTCCCCCTCCCCCCTTCCCTCCGTCCCCTCCCCTCCCCGGAGAAGAGAGTTGGTGTTAAGAGTCAGGGATCTTGGCTGTGTGTCTGCGGATCTGTAGTGGCGGCGGCGGCGGCGGCGGCGGCGGCGGGGAAGAAGCAGGAGCGGGAGCGGGAGCAGGAGGAGGCGGCGGTGGCGGCGGCGGCACTGGTTAGACATGAACGCCGCCCCAGCGCCGGCGCTGCACGGAGAGCCCCTTCTCGCGCGCGGGCGGTAGGTACCGGCGCCGGCGGGCTCGGCGGGGCTGATGCGCCGGGCGGCGCGGGGCT